CACACACACACACACACACACACACACACACACACACACACACACACACACACACACTTGTTTCCGTCCAGTGATGTCAGGTCTCCTCAGCTCAGGCTGCAGGCAGAAAATGGTAATACAGTTTCTAAGTAGAAACAGTGATTTTGGCCTGCCGGCAGTAGTGGTTCAGTCAGTGGGGCCAGGCTCAAAGGTGGGCCTCTGTGGGAGAGTCACATGGATTATGAGAGATGCTTTTAGTAATGCTATGATGCCCCAGCATTCATTTTCCTCTGTAAACAACCAATTACTTCAAAGAGTAAGTAAACAAAATGATCTTCAGTTTCAACTGAGGCGAATCAGCAGAGAAATACGGCACTGCTTTATTGCTTCTTCTGATTGGTTGCGCAGCCACCAATGCTAACGCTGTCTTTTCACTGTGTTCAAACTACAGAAGTGAAACTCATAAGCTGCTCTAACTCTAAATTTTAGATTAACCAGACACAGTATAAGGATTGCAAATGTCGCTGAATCCTAAATAGAAATCTATGGCACAGTTCTGAAATGCCAAAGATGGAAGCTGTCCTGTCACAACCTCCAGAGGCCCAATCAATAGCTGCATGAGTTGATTGTGTTTGCTCAGAACAGGCTCGCAGCAGCTTTAACTGTGTGCTGACAGACATATTTGTTACTGTAACAAAGGCGTACTTAATTGTCTGTATTCATTTTCTTGGCTCACTATAACCATACAGTGAGACAGAATGGGGAGAAGCCGGTCCAAAGCCAGGAGATGTTATTAATCTCTACCCATTAATAGGGCAGCTTTACTAATCTGAAGAAGTTGTATAATTTATGGGACGAAAAAAGCTTTTAAAATTTAAAGTCACCAAAACTTTGAATGGATCTTCTGATGATTTATCTGGTGAGTGTATTTGGACTGCAGAAAATATGGCAAAATAACAATGAAATGACCGTTTAAGGCAGCGGTCTCCAACCTTTTTTGCGCCACGGACGGGTTTATGCCCGACAATATTTTCACGGACCGGCCTTTAAGGTGTCATGGATAAATACAACAAAATAAAACTAGTACCGGTACCGAAAAAAAGAAAATTTATTCATAACACACGTGAAAAGACACAGGGAAACCAAGTTAATGAAAAAACGATAACAAAATAATGCTGAAAACCAATAAAAATCCTGAAAACCATACATTTCACACCTGAGCCTCAACTCTTGCGGCCCGGTACCGGTCCGAGGCCCGGGGGTGGGGGGCCGCTGCTTTAAGGCATCTTTTGCCCTGGTTTTTGCTGGAAGAGTCGCTCTCTGTTACTCTTGAAGAGTCTTACTCTTATGTGCTAAGTGTATAGGTGTGAGAGTGGATGGTATTTGATAGCTCGCCTCTCTCTGTAGGATTGAGCAGACAGAGCTGATGGATCGATAGTTTTGAAACAAAGTGATTGATTCGATTTATATAATGATGTTGTGTACGTTAAGCTGGTCAGCTGTGTATGCCCACATGTTCAGACAGCTTCAAAACCCCCAAGGAACGTCAAGGAGTCAAAAGCACGAGCTGTTGTATAATATCCCTCTAATGTTGCTGTCATCTTGCCTCCAGTTTAATGCAGCTATATACTTTTGCAACGTAAACAGTTTGAAGCGCTCCTCCATTTCAATTCAGAGGCGTTGAAGTCTCAGATAAACGCCGCGTCGTGTCAACGGGATCCGATTGCACTGTGGAGTCGCTAAGTTCTTTATAGGCTAAAACCTCTAATCCTCACAGATGTTTACATAGCATTTAGCTAGCCTTTCTGACGGACAGGAGAGCCTCTGCTGTGTGTCTCTTTGTGTGTGTGTGTTATGTAAGGATCATTTCAGGTCAGTTCTGTGCTGACACAATCAATGTCAGTTTTCACTTTTTGTAGCTATTTCTCGTGTGCTCTTCAGCGTCGCTCTCTGGTTTCACTTATCAATATTTCCATGTGTGCTAAGATCTATAGAATGCATACATTCACTGAAGGCTTTTATCCACAGAGCAGCACTCTGCATCAAGGGCACAACTCATCCTCGTTATACTTAACCTTTAATGTCTCTCATCATAGAAGCACAGTATGGAC